CAGCAGGTATTTGGATGCTGAGAGACAGTTCCCAGGTAACACATGGGGCTTCTTATTTGAAAACTGCTCCTTTTATTATTATCTTTCCTCCCACTGCAAAAGGCAAAGAGAAAAGAGACAGGGAGAGGGAGAGTCGTTTGACAAACTGAAAACTTCTCTAGGGGGGGAAAATGAATAAGTGCGGGGAAAAAATGAATAAGGGGAGGAAGAATAAAAGCGCAGGTGAAGAAGGAAATACAAAGTCAAAAGGCTCAGGGCTGACTCAGTGTGGTGCAGGGTTTGTGAGGGAGACTCTGCCTTTTGGAAATCAGTAATCCAAAGGGCTCTGCGTGTGTGCATGAAGTTATTGACTGACTGCATTACATCCACTTATCCCCCATTAAGCAGCAGGCTTCAGCTTGATCCCCAACAGCAAGGAATTAGAGTAACTCTACCCTGCGTTTTTAGAAGGGTTTCCATCTCCCAGGAATCCAAAGTGCTTCAGCAGCCCTCCAGGGAATGCAGGACTGACATCCAGATCCTTCTGGGGTGGAGACTGGCAGTGGGACAGGCTGCTGTGTGCAGCAGAGATGGGAGGGAACCCTGGTGCTTCTGTACAAAGCCATAGGATCTCTATTATGCAAGCAGAGTAGGAAAGGGTTGGCTTCCAAGGACACAGAATATAATTAGCCTATCTCAGAACAAGTAGCAATTCCTCCCCTGCTAAGCTGCTCTCAGTTCAGCTTCAAACAAATCATCTCTGCTCCCTGGCTGTGTCTCCACACACGAGCACCAGACAGATCTTCACGTCTGGAGGGGACGAGAGGCTGTAGGTCTCCATATAGTTACTGAACATTTTCAAAGCTGACTTAGAAAGTTTTTGTTCTTTTCTACCCCCACTTCAGTTTTCCACCCCCTCAGCTGTACTGATGCAACTGCTTGTGGATCTATGGGGAAATGAGACCACAGAAATTATCTATTTTTTAAAATTTTTTTTAATTCTTCTTAAGACATATTCACTTGCATCACTTCAGCAGAGCAGCCCCCAGTCTCAGAGCAACACAAAGTTTGGTGAAGAGGTGGAAAGAAGCTCCTGGTGGGGAGGAGGAAAGTGAAGGAGCCTCAGGTGCCTCCATCAGCTCCTGCTATTGTGAGGTGCTCTGCTCTGGAGCCACCACAACCCTGGTGACCCCTCAGCTCTGCCAGTTCCACCCAGATGTCCCTGCAGCTGGCACGGGGGGACACTTACAACTCTCTTGTTTCAAAGATGCTTCTTTGCTTTGTGTCTCTGGCTTCACTGCCCTGCCCCAGCTGACTTCCCACGTGGCAAAGCCGCTTTGTCACCGATGTCACTGGAACTGCTGCTTCTCGTGGAGCTAAAGAAGAACTGGGAAGCTCTAAAGGAGGAGGAAACTGCAGCTCCCTCCAGGGGAAACAGAGACAAGTGGAAGTGCAGGGTTTCCAGGTCATCCCAGACTTCTAGGGCAGAACAGGGGAAAGAACCTTGAAGGAAGAGATGAAATGAGAGTGTTTAACCCCTGCCATGAGAGCAGCCATGGAGGGCCCAGCTGAGGTTGGGAGCTGGGAGGGTTCACTTCTGCTACAACAGAGCAGTGGTCCTCAACTACTCTTCCCCTGCACCACTTCCAAAAATCCCACAGATGGGAGGTGGAGATGATTATGTTTGTTGCCTTGCAAACAGTGATGTCCCTGTGCAAAGTGGTCAAACAGGGAGCTGTCAAACTTCCCTTTACCCCCTCTGCACCCTCCAGACAGTGCATGAGAGGCACCTTGTTTATGGGCTTGACACTGGCTATGACTTAACCAGCTTTGACAGGGGTGATCCTATTTATAGGAGGAACTCCTAATGCCTCTCATTCAATGTCATGTTTGGGAAAAAGTGAGAAATGAAACAGAAATGACCCCTGAGTTTCTACTTTCAGTAATGGAAATTTCAGCTGCTGACCTGGGCAGGATGGGCAGCACTGAGCCAGTTTACTCAAGGTCACTGAGAAGTTCACATCACAGTCCAATTTCCCCTCTTTGAATGTCCTTCCTGGCTTGGCTTGGCACTTCTGATGCATTTTCAAGTCTGGATCCCTCACATTTTGGAGCCTTCCAGAAATTTGACCCCAACTCAGCCCATTCCACAAGGATGGGAAGGTGAGGAGCTGAAGGAGAGGTGTTATTTCCTAAATTGCCGCTCAGGAGTTGCACAAATGCTTTGCTAAACACCCCTGAACAAAGGTCAAGCTGAGGAACATCCAGCCAACCACTTTCATTCTTCCTTACACACCAAAGGCTTCAGCAGAGGTCAGATCTCGTGGGGTGCAGCTCCTCCCAAGGGGCAGCAGAGGGGCAGCTCCAGTCTCTGCTCTCTGGAAGCAGGGACAGGACCCAGGGAACAGCTGGAGTGGTGTCAGAGAGGTTTAGGCTGGAGATGAGGAAAAGGTTCTTCCTCCAGAGGGTGGTTGGGCACTGCCCAGGCTCCCCAGGGAATGGTCACAGCCCCAAGGCTGCCAGAGCTCCAGGAATGTTTGGACAATGCTCTCAGGGACAGGGTGGGGTTGTTGGAGTGTCTGTGCAGGGCCAGGAGTTGGGCTGATGATCCTTGTGAATCCCTTCCAACTCAGGATATTCTATGATTCTACAAAAAAAGTCCTTATTTTAATCCCTGTGAGTTTTCCTAATATCTCAAAGGATGGCTGGCCATGCAGATGGCCACCAGTCCTGGCCTTTCTCAAGTCCTCTGGTCAATCCCTCCTCAGAGGGGAGCATCCAGAGGTGCAGTGCTGTGTGATGAGCCGTGCCAGGAGACAGCTCGTGTGCCAGGCATCCTGAGCTCCAGGCGGCTACGATGACTCAGAGCCAGTCGCCTTTTTCCCTGCAGTGCAATTGTACCAGGCCCTGACAGCATCAGCTGGCTTTTATCACTGCTCCACATCAGAGCTGTCAGTCCTGAAGACAATGGAAGGTGTGTGGAGGGGGAGGAATTGAGCATCTCTGCGCTCTGTTGGCTTCCCAGAATGATGCCAAAGTGGCGAGCAAAGAGGTTTTGATTAGCAGCAACAGCAGAGTTTTTGATTAGCAGCCTGCTGCAGCAAGAGGCTCAGCGAGGACGTCAGTGAGTGTGGCAGCACTGAAATAAAGAAGTGATACTTCTGGAGCTTCCTCCACTGCTGCTTTGTGGGGAAGAGCTTGATTGATGGTGATGAGAGCTCTGGAGGGCACTGGGTGGTTCAGCCATGCTCACAGCTCTGGGGATGGAGGGCACCTGCCTTCAGACCTACTGGCTCCAGCAGGGTCTGCAAAGGATTTGAGTCATTTCCTCAGTGCAACTCATCTTCCCCACGTGTAACTTCTCAAACTCACCTGTTGCTGTGGCAGTGACAACGACAGAGAAGGAAGAGACTTGAAAAGCAAAGTCCGGGGGCATTTAGTGAACAAACAAAAGCCTCAAGCGAACAAAAAGATCAAATCTTGCCAGCTGAGTCCTTTGCCAAAGAGGAGGGGGTTGTTTGTACCTCCTTCAGGCACATCACGGAGTCTCCTGTCGCCCAGGTTTGTTGGGAAGATCACCCACGTGGATTCTCAAACCGCCCTTGTCCCGTGCCTCTCCCTCGCGCTCGGGGGCCGCATCCTGTGAACACCCACGGAGTGATTCGTTCTCTCCCTGCACGTCCCTGATGAAATGCCGATGGGAAAGCTGACAGCAGCAATGCCCAGGGTCTATTTGCCTGTCAGCTCTGCCTTCTTTCATTCCTTCTCAGCAGACTTGCACCTGCCTGTTGTCCTTGTCTTGCACTTACGCACCGAAGTCCCCCAGCACAGAAATCAGCTTTTTGTTCTGCTTCTAAAGCACAGAACACAAGGACTTTGATGCCACCTAGATACTATGTTTATCCTAAAACCAGAGCTAAGGAAAGTGTTATATTGATTATTTTCCAGACTCAAAGGTTAGGTTCAAAGCAGGGTGATTTGAAAAAGGTCTTGGGCAATCTGTGAGCACTGTCAAAACAGGGTCTGTTTCTCTCAAAACTCAATTCAAAACCTGAAGCAGAAGTCCATCCTTCCCTCCAGGATGGACTTAAGACTGTTTCCTAAAGTGCTAAGGCATTATGTAAAATAAATTAGCTTGGTCTGTGCAGGCCCAGGTACAATGGGTTTCTAAATTAAGCCCTTGCAAATGGAAATGGTGAGACAGGTGTGAGAGAAGATACCTACAGGCTGGAAAGCTTAATCAAAAATGAAAGCTGCTGAATGGACCAGCCAGTGATTTCAGCAAGTATTACGTGGTGTTGCTGCAAAACAGCAACAAAATGGCCATTGTTTTATTGATCCCACACAACCTGCTCTGCCCACGCTGCTGGGTGCACTCAGGCACTGTGTCACCGTGTTCCTGAGAGCTGCTGCAGTGACAGAAGTCACCACTTGTCCCTGGGCCCTGTAGGGCCCCAGCCTGTGAGTTTCCATCCAGTCCCCACAGGTGAAATGCCCTGTGATGACCAACTGGCATTTCATTTCCACAGTATTCCTCTGGAAGTGACACATGGGAAAAAAAACACATTCAGCACCAGGACAAAAGCTACAAAATAAGCAGAAAGGAAGGAAGTTTAAAAATTAATCAGAGCTCAAAGTGCTGTCAAATTTTTCTTCCTCTTGCCCTTTCTGGACACATAGCCATCACCAAAGATTAAAACTGATTGACTGACCAGGTCAGGGCAGAGCAGATGTGATAATAGGAAAAAAGGGAATGACTTCAAACTGCCAGAGGGCAGGGTTAGATGGGATATTGTGAAGAAATTCTTCCCTGTGAGGGTGGGCAGGCCCTGGCACATGTTTCCCAGAGAAGCTGTGGCTGCCCCTGGAAGTGACAGAGGCCAGGTTGGACAGGGCTTGGAGCAGCCTGGTCTAGTGGGAGGTGTCCCTGCCCATGGAAGGGAGGTTGGAACAGGATGATCTTTAAGGTTCCTTCAAGAAAAGCCATTTTAGGATTCAGAACATTGTGTTAGACTCTCCTGGAAAACAATTTACAGATCTCTTCCTCCACCCCCTTTCCTCTGTAGCTCGTTCCTGTTCCCTTGCTATGAAAAGTTTGGTTGTCTTCTCCTTTTTCTGGCTGAGTCTTTCCACGGCAGTTAGCTGCCATGGTGATAGAAGTTAGAGAAATTAGTACAAAGAAGAGTCATAATTAACAATTGACTGACAGTCCCATCTGACCTGAGACAGTAGCTGAAAGCTGCCTCCCACTTCAATCTGCTTGCCACGAAACAGCCAGGAACAGGCAGATCCAGTAGCCAAGGTGGTGTGGCTATTGGCTCCGTTCCTGCAGTGGCTGCCCTCAGTGGATTTGGTGCTCGGTGAGGATGTGTCACCATTGCCCTCTTCTGGATCCACAGCCAAGCCTGCTCCAAAGCCTGGGAGATGTCACTGTCTGGTGATGGCAACACGTGGAGACTCCAAGGGAACTGTTTCAGAGGTGACCACTGGTACCTCATGCAGGTGCTTCTCACTATTTCACTCCAAGAGCTTCAAGTCCTTTCGTGTTTCTCCTTCCAGAATGGTGACTGAGCTGCAGGGCAGATTCACAGCAGATGGTGGATTCAAAGGGAAGGAGATATTAGAAAACAAATTAACGCTAAATATATGACTAATTCCGGATCTTTGTGAATGTGTACCACTGTGAAAGGTGGGTGGTTCAAAACCTCCCAGGAATGGAGGGATCTCAGGTTCAAAAGAAAGGAGATGGTTAAGATGAGGAACTCCTTGCCACAGGATGCTGAAAAGTCTAAAAATATATATGAACTTAAGAACCTGGAAAAGTTTGTGGAAGAGAAATCCAGTGAGGGTTACTAATTACACAGAACTTCTAACCATTTATATAAGTTATATTTCTACATGAAATACATATTTATGGAAGAAAAGGCTTCCTAGTCTATTCTACCTTCTTTTGGTATCATAGGACATGATCCTGAATCAGCCCTTTGCTGACCCAGTATAACTCACTCCTGTTGGTATGAATATGGAAAAGCAGGGGTCAGGTTTTCCACTGCTCCCTCAAGGTTTTATTCTGCTTGAGGCAGGCAAAGACTCAATAATTGCTCAGTAACACACTTGGGGCCTGGCCCACCATGGAGCCCTTAAGATCTGGTGTTTTCGTAATGCACAAAATTATGCAGGAACCTCACTGTTTTGTACAGGGAGGAAAATTAGCCCAGCTCAACAAGGCACATTACTTATGGACTGAGCGAGGCAATTTTTCACACTCAGCTGGAAAGAATTTCTGCACTTGTCTGTCTGCTGGAGTTTGTGCAATATGGTAACATGGAGAACCAAACCTGACACTGGAAATTGTGGGGCTGTTGTCAGCATTCATGGACTGAAAATAGGCAGCAAATAAGAATCTGGTGAGGAGTTTCAACAGCTTGACCCGGCTCTGTAGTGGACTTTGGAGTCAAGAGCAGGTTGATGACAGTTGTTAATCCCTCACAGCTCTGCCTGTGTTCCCTGCTGTTAAATAATGTATCTCCCAAATAGGGGAAAAACAGGAGCAGGCATCTCCTGTTTCACTCAGCATGGGGGAAAGGAAAGATGGGGGAATGATGTGTCCCTAGACAGGGAGAGTGATGGAGGAGGGAGATGGGATGTGTGGAGTGCCCGGCACATGGAAGGAGAATGGTGGGTCCAGGGTGAATGACAGAATACAAGGAACATATATCCCTGAGACAAGGATTTAGGGTGGAAATTGGCACACACACCACTTGAGTCAAGGGGTGGATCAGTGAGGTAGAGTGGTATGGAGGCTGGGATTATCCAGGAAAGTAAGAATGGAAAGCAAAGTGCTCCTAGTCCAGTGCAGTCGGTCACAGCACAGGCTCTAAGTGTAAACAGTGTGACAGAAGGACAAACCCAGCTGAGGTGTCTCAACATTGTCTCCAGTGGGTCTCTGACAAATGAAGATCCAGACACTGAACTGCAGAGGTCTGGAGAGGAACCTGTGAGACAAAGGTGTCCAAGGGTGATAAATGGAATGCAGCACACAACATGCATAAAAGAATCTCCTCAGGGCCTGGGTGATAGAGTGCCTGGAAGATACATCAGGGATTCTTGACCTATGATTAAACTTTGGCACATGTTAACTTACATTGGACAAAAGACACACTCTGTCCCAGTTCCCTGCTTTCCAGCAAGTGTAAGAGTCATTGCCTGCCCTAGAAAGAGCACTCTCCATTCATGTTTGGGAAGCTCCTGGAGAGCAGAAGCTGTGCAAGTGCAGAGCATTATCTTCTCAGCATCCTGCAAGAACATGCCAGCAACATTCAACCTCCCCTCAAATCCAGTGGCAGGTCACAGCGATTGGCGGGTCTCGCATGTGTGTGACTGTGAGTCACCCAGGATAACTGATCTTCATATTAATCTATTGTTGTAAATGACTTGGAGCTGCCTACAGACAATCCTTCAGAGTATGGAACAATGGAGAACCTGCGTATCTGAATAAAGCCTCCTCTGCATGGCAACTTATTGCCATCGTAACCAGCATAAACAAGAGCAATTAAGACAATTTCAGAGCATCACCTCCTCCCTCTGGGGTCTTAATGAGAGCACGCTCAGAAGGGGGCTGGAGCAGAAGCAGCAAGGGCTGGGAGTTAACTTGTGCAGGAAAAGATGGGCAGGGAGAGTGTTGGATCCAGAGGATTGCTCCTCTTCACTCCAGAGTGTAACACGAAGGGCAAGCAGGGGGAGAGATTCAATCAGCTCTGGGGTAGATAGGAAAAGCTCTGAGAAGCAGACCTTTCCTGCTGTCTAACCCTCACACCAGCTGTTGGGACTCTGCAGATTTTCATGATGTATCCAGGTGACCAGAAGTAGCCAGAAAGGGTGAGAAAGACATGGGCACCACACAGAAGGATAACAGGGTTCCAAGACATAGCTCTTGGTAGAATCAGGGTTGGATTGGACTGATGGCCTCCTAGGAGCAAGGTGTTCAGGAAGAAGCTCTTCAAAATATGATGATTATCCATCCCAGAAAATAAATACAAGCCTCCACAGAGTGCTGCTGGATTAGTGTATAGGTTGCACATGCTCCATAAACCTTTGCTATATGCTACTGATCTGTGAGCACTCAGATGACTGAGAAGCTGTTCGTGGGTGGCTGTGCAGTGAGGAGAGATGGAAAATTGGGAAGTTCTCCTTTGAGGAATCTGTCAGGAGATGAGAGGGACTGACCAGTACAAATACTCCAGGGAAGGAAGGGGGACAGCTCCTATCAGCTTGGTGATGGCATCTCTTTCTTTGGAAATCTGGCCCCTTGCAATGGAGAAGAAATGGATGGGGCTCTGGAGCAGAGCGTTTGTGAAGGTTTTCATAGGATTGCAGGAACTGTGATTTTCGACTCTTTTCAAATTGAAGGCAGAAGTGAAAAACGAGGTTCCTGCACTGTCACAGTGTATAAATAGCCTGATGGAAGCATAACAGCAGCTCAGTTTGGTATGTATCATGCACTCAAATAATTTTACAAAAACCCCACAGAATTCTATCCATCTACTCCTGCAAGAAGCTCACCAGCTTCTGTTTAATGTGCAATGACAGCTACCCTTACTTCAGGTGGATCACAAAACTCACCCTAGAACCAAAATGGTTCTTTCCATTCTCTGCAGAGACAATTTTTTCCTTTTAACTTGAAATTTGCTATCATAGATTTGATTGTCTGCTTAAAAAGAAAATGAAGGAAAGTGGCACATTAACTTGCAAAGAGAAGAAAGGAGCTAAATCTGAGACCTCTTATCTGAATCTTCCCAATGCCTAAGTGCTGGATAATTGGAATTGCTGTCTGAGCCATAAAACACAGTTTTGCTCAGATGTTCCTAACCCCAGATATTCTTCTCCTTTCTGCTTCTCCTTCAGAAGCACCCTGGATCTAAGATCTCAGGAGATACGTGAAATCTGACCTTCAATGGAGAAAGATCCTACTTAAACTTCCTAGAAGCCAGGAGGAGATAAGTGCTTTACAAAATGAGAAACCCGCTTTTTTTGGAGTCAGGAGTTTTTTGGAAGCACAGGGTCACTCAGCCAACCACATGGACCAGTTTTCCCTTAGCTAAGAGTTTTGACAACCAGAGTTCCAACTCTCCCAGTCAAAGCACTTTGTATCACCAGGTGGGTTTCTAGGAAGCAAACAGCTGTGAAATAGTCACCTTTAGGATATTGGGTCTATCTGCTGTGCTCATTGCCTTGTGTTTATTCTCTGTGTATCACCTTGGATGAGTGTGCAGACCTGGAGTCCACCCAAAAAATATAGATGAGTCTATAAAGAGAAATAACTATTAGTGTTGCTGATATTCAAGACAAGACAGCTTTCCCCATGGATATCTTGTTTGGGTACTGCCTGGAGGGCAACTAGTGAGGACTCAGCAATTCTGAACACCAACTTACATATTTAGGAACCTCATGTCAAATGCGTCCCAAAATACAGCAAAAAAAAAAAGGCATTGACAGAGAAAAATGGGGAGATGTGAACAGCTGAATCTGTTCTCTGCCACTGACTTACCAAGGGACATGGAGCAAATCAGTTTATTTTTCCATGATTCAAATACCCCTTTGCAAAATGAGGCCAACAGCAAAGCAGGTCCAGCACTTCTCACAGTGCTCAGGTTTGTACCTGGTGGGGTATGTGTGTCAGCTGGGGAGCACCAGAGTCTTCAGTCCACAAGGAAGGTCTGCAGGGAGACATCAGTGTTTGTTAATCTATGCTTTATAATGTTCTGACATCTGGAAGGGCAGAGCAGAATCGTTATTGTTCGGATGATGACCACTGTGTCCCTTATTAAGACGAAATTAAAAATAGGAAGTGGTTATAATTATCATTTTGGACACCAGTCCAGTGGCATCATTCTCAACACAGTGCTGGGATTATAAAGTAATAGCCAAGGGAATGTCAATTTACCGTTCCTTTTTTCAGTGCAGCACGAGTGTGAGCCAGTACAATCCCTGCTATCTCCTTCCCCGACATCCAGCCGTGCATTTCCCATTACTGCTCGTTCGGCTTTCTGAGGTCCATTGTGACATTAACAAAGGCAGCCCAGTGATATTGTTACATCCAAATGATGGACAGAGACAGAGAAAAAACTCCCAGTACCTCTAGAGATGAAAACAATAATCTTGTACCATTCCAAATGGGAAGAGAATTTCCCAGATAAAGATTTACCTGTCTCCTGCTCTAAGGCAAAGTGCTGTTGCCTGTTCCAAGCTCACTGGCTTTGCTCTCCACTCCACACAAGGAAGTGAGAACCTGCCTTTGGAAACTGCTAACCTTTTCCTGAATGGAAAACCAAACTAAAGCACTTTGTTTGGGAAAGGCTTGCGCTGGGATTCATAATAAGCCATCATTGACGTGGCAGACCTTGCTGTTGACTTGGAGCCAAATCTTGAGGTCCTTGCCTGAAGGATCAGAAGGATTTGACCCCAGGACTGTTATTAGCCTTGACATCACCAGCTCCTGACATGGGATAGTTTTCCAGTGAACTTGCTTGAGAATGTTTAGAAATGTCAAGTGGCCGAGCCACGAGGACACAAGAACGAGAAGGTATCAAATTCGCCCAATTGAACGGGAGAATTTCAGTCCTCCCCCTGCTCTCGCTGGCGATGGCAGCGCTGCTGACA